AACTGACTCTCAGCCAAACTCTAACCTAACACTATATTAAGTTATTCATAGTACTCGGTACTTAAATATATAATAACACCATAACAATGACGGTCATATTAATTAAAGCATTGCTTTAAGTTTAGGTGTAGGGTTTGGTTTAAGGTTAGTTGCATGCAATTATGCATTGCATTTACTGTTATTATTGCAGTAATTACATGTAACATAACACGGGCACTGTAAAATAAAGTGTTACCCAATTATTTTTAACATTTGATTGTAAGTTTGCACATTATATCCTCGTCTACCATGCGATTCAGGGACTAGCAGGTTGAGGAGCTTGTTACCCAATAGGATGCATGTGATACAGCAGCACTCAAACACAGTCATGCCAATCGTATTGATCTCTGTAAAAATGTTCCCAAACTAACATTTGACTCTGCCTGTGAGTACACAACAGTGCAAAATGACATTGAGGAAAGGTCACCCGGTCCCCAACCATTCCCAATCCCCTGCCCTGTGCAGGAGAAATCGATTTCAGATCCTCATTTTCACTCTGACTCATACGAACAGCCTCGGCACAGACTGCGTGTGCCGTAAACAAAAGTATTACTTTGTGTATGTCAGTGTATGATTATCCTTATAGCTACGCGTCAATGCAATATTACAGTATTGTTAGATATTTTAAAGCATTTTTGAAAATAAAAATCATTATGACAGCACTTAGCTCCCAACCTGTCTGATATTTGTGACATGCTCGCTTGATCTGCAGCAATAATTAACCGTAATGTCTTAAAATGATGAGTCGTCAACGTTACACTAGCAAGCTCAGCGGTTTTAGAGCCTTGTGTCTTAATATTGTTTAATATTGGTCATGCTAGCCGTTTAATTCCCTTTAAGAGGATGTTGGACTGTATTGCTTTCCCTGGCTTTTGTCGGGGGGGAAAAAGAGCTTTACTTAAATCTGCTTATATTCTGATCGTGTTTTTATTGAAGTGTAATAAACCGAGGATTGACCGTTACTATTTTACTATGACCTCAATATAATTATTTATCGGTAATGGGATGCTATCTATTTGGGGTGAGCTTTTGAATTCATATTCTGTGAGTAAATAGGCAAAAATGTGTATAAAGTCATTGCTATCATGTTTGAAACCTGCGACAGTCACACTCACATTTTTTCACATCTCGCACTACATTACAAGATAATGATACAAAAGAGACAAGTTAACGCAAGTCAAGGTCCACGAAATGCACTATTTAGTTTTGGTCCTTCCTTAGTAGGAGTCATGCTCAGGTTATGCAACTAATAAATGAATGTTGAAGCAGGCAAGGATGTGCTTCACATATTTGCATAAGTTAAGTGAGTTTTTGTCCTTCTTAAGACTCTGAATATATGATTGAGCAAAATACAGAGGTGATTATAATGGTTCTTTTAGTAAAAATCAGGGCTGTGATATCGGAATATCACGAATGAACTGCAATAACTTCTTTTAACACTTCAAAAACTTCTGAAAAGTCAATGTTTTCAGATAGCAGTGTTTGTCCGACGATATATGCGAGTCAATCATCAAGCCGAACACAAGAATGTGAAACATGTATAGTATATTAAATGTTTTTATACACTTAAAGGAGTAGCCTAGTTTACTTTTTTTTTTTAACTTTACTCACCCCCATGTCATCCAAGAAGAAATTAAAGTTTTTGATGAAAACATTCCAGGATTTTCTCCTTATAATGGACTACAATTGGAACCAAACGGTTCAAGGTCCAAATGAGAGTTTCAATGCAGCTTCAAAGCGCTTTAAACGACACCAGACGATGAATAAGGGTCTTATCTAGTGAAACGATTGGCCATTTCAAAAATAAATAACAAAGTTTAAGTTTTGTAAGCACAAATCATCGCCTTGCTCTGTTCTGTGATGAGCGTTCGTGACTCTCCTGTTCAAACTCGTTCATCAAAATGAACGAATCTTTTTCGTGTCACCACTCGAAGGGTTCTAGATAAGACTCTTATTCATCTGTTGTCGTTTAAAGCCCTTTGAAGCTGCACTGAAACTCTCATTTTGACCTTGAACCGTTTGGTTCCCAATGAAGTCCATTATATGGAGAAATGTTTTTCATCAAAAACCTTAATTTCTTTTCGACTGAAGAAAGAAAGACATGGACATCTTGGATGACATGGAGGTGAGTAAATTATCAGCAAAAGTTTTTTTTTTTTTTAAGTGAACAGTATTTTATTGCGCATCACATTTTTTAAAAATTACATATCATGTTTTTCTTCACTAATATGGCCTCCTATGTTTATTTAAATACACAATTAAGTGGAAATATCATGGAAAAGTGGTGAATTACAGATTTACAGTTTATTTCCATTTCAGATTTCAAGAAGCGCTTTTCTTATTTCCCATTATCAGACGTCCTGCGCTTCTTATGAATGTGTTTTACATCCTGTGGAAAAGACGCAAGGGCCAAATGCTCCTGCCCAATCTTCCAGGCTGTTAATTTTTTATTTGATTGTTTCCTTTAAGGTTTTCTCGGTCAAGCCAAGTAGTAAAATGTGATGGTTTATTTGTGAAGGCCACTCTGCTGTTGTAAAGCGGCCTGTCCAAACATAGCTCCTAGTCCTCCGGAGAATGAAAGCGTTGTCAACTTCTCACCCCTCCGTGGTCCTGCTGAGAAGGGAACACAGATAGCTCTTCTGTCACGGCCCAGACAGGAAGCCATCATCTGCGCTTTATTGAACCTGTTGTTCTTTTTCATTCAATCAGCCCATCCCTTCCCCCTCCCGAAAAAGCATTGCCGAGCCAAATGAGGTCTTGTGAAATTCAGTGCTCTCGTATGGAAATGCGCATGTGTCCACTGGAAGTCCAGTTGACCGCACAAGCTCTTTTATTCAGTGTGCTTCCACAGCCCAGTGACTGGTCATTCAATAGCAAAGCTTGATAACGAGGAGACTTTTGCCAAGGCGTTCCCAAGCCAGCCGATAGAAGCGGCCAAATGTCAGAGCCCGAACTTAGCACGGCTGGTCCAAGTTTGTTAACTCTAAATCAGGATTCAGACTGAATTGAATATCAAATGCAACGGGACACCTGGACATGAACAATAGCTGTGGTATTACTTGCCACCATTATTTAGCCCTCTTTGTGTCCTTTCTGGCCTAAAGGGTTGGTTTTCCCCCTTCTCAGGCTGAGGATGTAGTTGATGACACAGATCTATGGTTGAATAGCACTTTATTCAAGGTGTCAAGTTTAGTTGTATGTGT